CGCCCCCCCCCCCCCCCCCCCCCCCCCCCCCCCCCCCCCCACCCCCCCCCCCCCCCCCCCCCCCCCCCCCCACGAGAGTGACGATGTTCATGATGATGTATGCTTGTAATGTAACCTTAGTTTTGTTTCTACCAATACAATACACTATTGTACTAGGACCGAGAGTTCTCACTTAATTTTGTTGTTTTGACTCCCTCATGAGTACGCACAAATACCCAGACTCATAGGTTTCTCAGTCTGGCCCGAGTAATAATCGACTGATCCAACGTCGCCATGATCGCTCGCCCATCAGCATCCGCCTGCAGCGCCTCACACGCCATGCTCAACGGAAATCCAGCTGATGAGATACCATACAGCATAAAGTCTTCCTGCAGCAGATATTCCATGCTCTTGTATATGCAAGTGCTGAGCTCAAGGCACTCCTCGCGCAATGCTTCGGGGCTGTATGCCGCATCATCGTGCACTGCATGCTTTAGTCCCGGAAACCGGTTCAACAAGCCCTGAATCTCCTTGAGGCAGAGAAGTTGGAAAGCCCAGAAGTAGACGAATACGTTTGCGATGCCGAGGCTTGGGTACCATAGCGATTCGTAGGTGCCGCCGAGATCGCGCTCTACGCTCTGTCGACAGGAGATTGGTTCTAGGGTGTTTGCTAGAAAGCCGCTGTGCCAGTTCTTGAGTTGGGATATGCTTCCCATGAGCTCGGTTATGAGTTGAGAGGCTGCTCCGGCTGTGCCAATGGCGGCAGCATCGGGGGAAGTGGGTAGTACGACGTCGATTTTCTCCAGGAGACCAGGGATAGGTGCTGCGACACCTAAGAGGCTCTGTAATGGGGCACCTTTGTGATGTTGGAAGGGTAGTGTAAGCCAGGATCCATCGGCGAAGAATGTCGATTTCCGAAGTATGAAGGCTTTGAGCACCTAGGACGTAGACATGTCAGATCATGAAGTCTTCTCGTGTGGCGTTGTACTTACTAAAAGCGGTCTGAAGCCCATGAGCATAGTATGCTCAATGCCCGATGCGAAAAGCTCTGGCGGCATGAGTTGAAACATCTTGCTGACGCCTTCCACATGTATCAGCCAACTTGACTCTTGCGTGGGCGACAGCACCTGTCGTGTGTTGTTAGCCTTAGATTGAACCAACTGTTTCAGAAGAACGCCAGAATGATCAGTAGACAGTCGTTAAGACATGGGCAAAGTTACCTCCGTCAGTGCCAAACACATAACCGCGGCTACGAGTTCGCTTCTATAAGTGTCTCCCACAGCTGCAAGACTTTCCCCCAAAAGACGGAGACTATCCTCGTATTGCGCGACTACTGCGTTGAGACAGTCTCTACGCTCTCGATAAGCGGTGATAGCAAGTGCCAAAGCGCTCACGGCCGAGTATAAACACTGAGAATACGGTCCAGTCATATCGGCAGTCAGTTCTGGGAGGGCCTTGGCCCAAGAGCCACAAAACCATGAGCATTGTTCAGATGCATGTGTCGCATTACATGGTAGCTCTTGGACGGGAATGAAATTGCGCAAGATCAACGATACTTTCTCTCGTACGATGGAAGGAGCTGGGGGGTATAAACCATGCGAAGGTGATAAGTCGCTGGACGTGAAGGTGGCCTGCTGGGGAAGTCTAGTCGACTCGTCTTTAGCCTGAGTACAACCCGATTCGGCATCGGAAGGACATTGCGCATCCACTGGGAGAGGAAGCTTTGCCCGCGGAGCCGATTTCGGACGCGCCCTTGGCTTTACTGCCGTTTTGGTAGCATCGAAGGGTACAAATAAGGCGTCCGGGTACCCTTCGCATGTTCGCTTACTGAAAACACATTGAGTGCATGCTGGACGCTTGCCATCGCACTGTTTAATAGCAGATAAGATCAGCACATACATCCGACATCAAGGAATCATGCAAACATACCTGAAGTTTTCGTTTGCGGCAAGTATCACAGAGATTCTTTTTCCTGACCTTCATGGCAGAGGTACGCGTCCGTGAGGGAACGCGATATGTTACCGCAACCGGAAGGTATCGATTGGCTTCGGGGTTTTGCTCCCGAATTGAATAGCCTAGGGTGGGGCACTACCATGAAATCTGGTATAGGATGGAAATAGCTAGGGATGCGTTGACGCAACGCGGAGGGTGGCAGCTGAGACAGCGCCCAGCAATGATGTAGGTGTTGTGTTTATCCAATGAGAGGAGGACATGTGGGTCGGGGTTCGCTCCTTCGTTGGGCTTAGCGCTTGCGGCTCCAAGGCTACTACCCCGGGTATTGTCCGTCGCGTTTCTACACTCTACCAGAACTCATCAAATCATGGAAAATTTCTCTCTTGCTGATTAACAGTGTTGATCAGGTAATCATTGCACCGTTCGCCGATGTGCGAATTGCCCTAGGCCGTATGTCATGATGGCTCTCATTCATGGTGTGGCTTGGTATAAAGCCAACCACTGCGCTCCATTGCATAAAGGGATGATACCCAGGTACTGATCTATCATCACTCTACTATTCGAAAGACGTTCTATATCCCTATCACAACCATGCCAGCCTCTACCTTCTACAACAAAATCACCATCACCCACATCGGCACCGCCACCGCCATCCTCGACATCGACGGCATCACCTTCCTCACCGACCCCTTCTTCTCTCCCGCTGGCACCGAGTTCAATGGATCCGCAGCCATCCTCAAAGTTCACGAGGACCCAGCTCTGAAGCTAGATGAACTACCCCACATCGACGCCATCCTCCTAAGCCATGAGAACCACCCCGACAACCTCGATGACTTAGGACGCCGACTCGTCGACGGCCGCCACGTCGTAACCACCAACGATGGCGCAAAGAATCTCGCGCCCCGGCCAAGTGTCCTCGGGTTTAGTGACTGGCAAGAAAGAGATGTGCGCATCGCAGGGACGACATTCCACATCACCGCCACGCCCTGCAAGCACTGGCCCGGCCACGAATGCGTCGGCTTCGTCCTACACACCGAAAGCTTCGGCGTCGCAGCCGACGGCCGCCCAAACGCAATCTACTTCTCCGGCGACACAGTCTACATCGAAGAACTTGCAAAGATTGCGGACAAGTACCACATCACTGTCGCCATCATGAACTGCGGTAAAGCGACCTTCTACGAGTTCACTGATGAGGGTAAACCGGGTCAGCCAGGCGATGCTTTACAGATTACAATGGATGGTCGACAGGCGGCTCACTTGCTGAAGGATCTGAAGGCTGATGTATTGGTGCCTATGCATTATGAGTCGTGGGATCATTTCAAGCAGGGTGGGGATGGGCTTGCGCGGGAGTTTGAGGAGGAGGGGGTTTTGGAGAGGGTGAGGTGGTTGAAGCCTGGGGAGGCTGTTGAGATTAATTAAGCTGTGGAAGGAGAGAGAAGGCTATGATGGTGTGTTCAGAGATGTATTAGTAGTAGTTGAGCCTTGCATGGTTCGAGCGGTGTAGAATGTTGTAGGGATGATGAATATATCTGCACTATATCTTAAGGTATTCAAATTGTCTTTTGATCTCAACCCCCTGCTTCATCTCCAAATCGAAAGCTGAGTGATTGACGATCCGAGCAACACGCGCATGTATCCACTTCAACGCACTACAACAAACGTCACATTGCTCATCCCCAAATTCCGAAAAATTCGGCGGCCGTGACACAACCGACCAAGAAGTTTCTGCTTTTCTTTCCCAATCTCTTCCACCGAGCAGAACACCGACTTTGTGTATATGGAAGATGCAATGGGTCGGCTTTTGGCACCACATCCGGCCTAGCGTCGCCATCATCTAGACCAAGAATTGGCTCAACTTCGGGCAGAAACACCCTTTATTGCTGATTATCAATCCTTACGAGTTCGCCGATGAGTGAACAAATCTCTCATCTTGTACGTGCATGTCTATAATGGGCGAGTATATATACTTTCGAGCCCGCCATCAAGTAGTATCACGCACCCGCTAGAGCATCCCAAGATCGACACTTTCTGTTTGGGAATTTCGAACTCGGAGTAAAAGATCATGTTTGGAAGAAAGACCACGATCGATCATGAGGGTAAAACCTCTCCGGAAACACCAAATCATGGCGAACCAAAACACGAAGATACCGAATCAGCCACCCTACCATCCTCAAGCACGAGCATCGAGGAACAACCCGAAGACGAAGTAGTTGCTCAAGAACCACCAGAAGGAGGTTTAATAGCATGGCTAGCAGTCCTCGCCTTCTTCCTCGCAATAATGAACACATGGTAACCTCTCCTTTCCCCTCCCTACACCACCCCACTCCACCCTTACTGACAACTACGCAGGGGCATGATAATCTCCTTCGGCGTCTTCCAAACCTACTACGTAACAACTCTCCACCAAACCCGCTCCACAATCGCATGGATAGGCTCCCTCGCCGTGTTCCTCCTCTTCTTCACCGGCATCATAAGCGGGCGCCTCACAGACGCCGGGTTTTACCGCTCCGTCACCTGCACCGGCGCCTTCCTCGTCGTGCTAGGCACATTCATGACATCCCTGTCCGAGACCTACTGGCAAGTACTCCTTGCACAAGGTATATGTACGGGCCTGGGAAACGGGTGTTTGCTTACCCCCATGTCGACGCTTGTTACGAGTTATTTCAAGAGGAGGTTGCCGTTGGTGACGGGGATTGCAGCGTGTGGGAGTGTGACGGGCGGGTTGGTGTATCCGTCTATGGTGAGGACGTTGTTGCCCAGTGTGGGGTTTGGGTGGACGTTGAGGGCGATTGGGTTTATTCAGTTGGGGACTTTTGCGGTGGCGTTGGTGGTTGGGCGGCCGAGGAGGGTGGTGAGGAAGAAGGGGCCGCTGTTGGATGTGAGTGTGTTTAGGGAAGGGGCGTTTAATTTGCTGCTTGTGGGGTCTTTTTTGGTAAGTTTGTTGCTATGAGAACCCGATTTCTGTTGACGAGGCATGGACACTTCGCTAACAGATCTGCAGGCTTTCCTGGGTGTGTTCTTCCCGTTCTTCTTCCTCAGCTCGTACGCGCGAGAGAAGCGGGGGATGTCGTACACTGAGTCTCTCAACCTCACCCTTGTTCTCAACGGCATCGGGTTTGCGGGTCGACTACTACCCAGTCTGATCGCCCGATACTGCGGCACGATGAACGTCTACATCACATTCATCTTCTGCTCTGCACTCTGCATGTATACCTGGGTCCCGGTACACTCGACTCCCGGGCTCTACGTGTGGACAACTTTCTACAGTCTTTCTGTGGGTGGGGTTCAGTCACTCTCCTTGGCGATTGTTCCGATCATCATCTCAGATACATCGAAGATGGGTGCTTCGTTTGGCATTGTGTTCGCGGCTATTGGAGTTGGCGCATTGATAGGCTCGCCTGTCTGTGGTGCTATCATCACGTCGAGTGGAGGCTCGTATACTGGTGCGCAAGCCTTCTCGGGGACTGTGTTGGTTGCTGGCGGGCTGATCATACTGGCTGCGCGCGAAGCGAAGAGGCGGCAGAAACAGGAAGACGTCTGGGTGAAGATGTGAGGGCCGCATATCGGAACTCTGTTAGTTTCTTTATTCTTTTGGTGTTTTGTTATTGTACTTTAGCCTCCATGCGCATTACCAGTTACATGGATGCATTCCTTCCAACCGTGCCACTGCTTTAGCCATTTTTCGACGCATCTCTGAGACTAGGGTCTGGAGTGTTTTACTTGTAGTGGTACATTGTTGCGACTGAACCACGCTAATGGCGAGTGTCGTGAGATCGTGCCGTCGAGACGCACGGTCTGTGTTCGATGAAGATAGATGGAGACCCTGAGTTCCACGTGGGGTAGATCCTGTGATAGCGCGTTGTTGTTTACGCGTGGCCCACGTGTCAGACGCCCCGCTTTTACCCTTTGCCCTAGCAACATCAACTGTGCCGGCCGCCTAATTTGGCAACAACACGAGGGGCACATCCATCGCGACAAGTGAGACACCTCACGATAAGACTATCAGAGTGACAAGACGACACCAGTCCATGCATAGTAGTCAGCGGAGACACCGTGCGCCGTTCCGACCGATCGACACCCTTTCCTCCGCCCAGAAGCCCGCTCTCAAAACCCCAGCGGCCACCGCCCACGCCTACACGTCAGACGATAGCGACTACCCTCACGAACAGTCGACCTCTCTACTTGGCGACTCGAGCAATCTCTTTGACGACATCGAGAGCCCGGCGAGCTATCCCACACAGAAGGAAGTCCTTCAGTCCCGCCTCAAGATGGTGCGTGAGCGAGAGCCTCCTATGGCTCAACCGCCACGCGATGGAACAGCGGCGCCGCCAAAGCCTCTACAGGACCTACGGAACCCGGCCCCACAGTTTGGCGAGACAAGCCCGCTGAGGAACCCGCTGAAGAAGGACCGGAGCGAGCAGTTTGCACACCTCTTCAACAAACCCAAGCCAGGCCAGATGCGGCCCGAACACAGCCAGACGACCAAGCTACCGTCTCAATACTCGGCGCCTTCTAGGCCGTCACAGAGCTCGGCCTCGAGTAGTAGTAGAGATACACTCAACCGACCTTTCAAAGTTCCCTCCGCACAGTCAGGTTCGCGCTATAGCACGGCGTCTACCTCATCTACCGGCTCCGACATCTTTGAGATCGATGCCTCGCAGTTCCAGCCCCGCCCGTCTCAAGGCGCCTCAGTGCCCATTCCACGGCCATACAACCCACCACCAAAGACCAGCCATCCTCCCCCGCGACCGATTTACTCGTCCATGGGCCACGCTGATGGCTTCCAACCGCTGAACAAGGGCGTGCACAACCCGCTACAACAGGCGCGTCAGACAATTATATTGGACGATGAAGACAATTTCGATCCAGACGCGGCCATTCGAGCAGAGGGTGGACGGTTCGGCGAGCCTGACCCGTACGCGTATGTCGACTCTGGTGCGGCAAGCGAGAACATCAAAGCGCTGCTTGAGGGTGCTTTCGAGGAAGACGAGAAGATCCCCAGGACGCGACTTCGTAAGAAGAAGAAGCAGCAAGAGGATGACGCTGGCAATTCCCTGGCGGACCGACTACAGGCGCTCGCTGTCAAGGACGAAGAAGCCAAGGCAGAGGCTGAACCAGAGGAGGAAGAGGAAGAAGACGACGGAACGGTCGAAGGCCTCAAGGTGAAGCTTCTTCCTCATCAAGTCGACGGTGTCGCGTGGATGATCGAGAAGGAGACCGGAAACCACAACAAGAAGGCCAAGCTGCCCAAGGGCGGCATCTTGGCGGATGATATGGGTCTGGGGAAGACTGTGCAATCCCTCGCCCTCATTCTTTCCAACCCTCGCCCGGAGAAGGGCGTTGAGCCCGAGAACAAGAAGAACAAGATTTCCGACTCCACCGGCAAAGGCACCCTTGTCATCGCTCCTCTGGCTCTGATCAAGCAGTGGGAGGCTGAGATCAAGAGCAAGGTCGCCAAGTCGCACGCCCTCAAAGTCCTCGTACACCACGGCCCCAACCGTACAGAGTCCGCTGAGAAGCTGAAGCAGTATGACGTCGTCATCACTACCTTCAACAGCTTGGCTACCGACTTTGCGAAATGCGGCGATGGCCCTGACGGTCTGAAGAAGGGGTGTTTCGCTGTCTCGTGGTACCGCATCATGTTGGACGAGGCACATACAATCAAGAACCGCACAACGAAGATGGCAAAGGCTTGCTACGAGCTTCGTTCGCATTACCGATGGTGTCTGACCGGTACGCCGATGCAGAACAACATCGACGAGCTACAGAGTCTGATCAAGTTCCTCCGCATCCAGCCTTACTGCGAGCTTTCTTCCTGGAAGGAGTCCATCGCACAACCAATGAAGAACGGTCGTGGCAATCTCGCCATGAAGCGATTGCAAGTCTTCTTACGTGCCTTCATGAAGCGCCGTACAAAGGACGTGCTGCGAAAGGAGGGTGCGTTGAACTTTGGCGGCAAAGCCAAGGAGGGCGAGGAGAGGCCAGCGTTCCACATCGTTGCGCGAAACGTCGAGACTATCATAGGAGAGTTCACGAACAAGGAGCGCATCTTCTACGACCGCTTACGAGACCGTACACAAGCCCGTCTTGATGAGATGATGGGTGGCGAGAAGCAAGATTACATTGGGGCGTTGGTGTTGCTACTTCGTCTGCGCCAGGCCTGCAACCATCCCAACCTGACGAAGAGCAACGTCAAGGATGACAAGGATGCTTTGACGACCGGATCGAAGTCGAATGCTGCAGCTGGTCTTCAAACTCCTCGGAAGGCAGCCAAGGACGACGCAGATGATCTCGCAGATCTCTTGGGTGGGCTCAGCGTTGCGACTAAGCGGTGTGATATCTGTCAGAACACACTTAACAGTGATAATACAGCTGCTGGCGGAGTACGTTGTACAGAATGCGAGGAAGATCTGAATGGGTCTGTCAAGAAGAAGTAAGTCAATGTCAAGCGAAGACCCAGTAATGCCACATACTAACAATTGACAGGCACAAGTCGAAGAAACACCGCAAACACAAGCACAAGGACGGCAAGAGCAAGAAGCACCGGCAACCGAAGCCAGTCTTGGACTCCGATGACGAGGAAGAGGTAGCGCAATCAACCGGTGCAAAGCACTCTCGCAACCGTCGCGTCGTTGTCGACAGTGACGACGAAGAAGAGGAGGGCGAGTGGCTCGTCCCTGAAGATCAACAGCAGGCTGAAGACCTGGGCAAGGCTGGCGGTACCGACGATGAGAACGCAGAAGGCGGTGGCGACACTCTTGCTACTGTGGACTCAGACGCATCCGAGACTGAGGATGAGAGCAGGAGTAACCTTGACTCATTCGTCGTTCACGATACTGACAGCGAGGACGGTGCGCCTGTTGCTCGTAAGAAGCTCGCTAAGAAGCCACAAAAGGTCATCAATCTTGACTCTGATGACGAGGAGGCTGACAGTGAGAGCGTCAACGGCAACGGTAGCGGCTCAGACGACTCTGCAACCGACTCCTCAGATGACGACTCAGACTCAGACTCCGCAGTCTCAGACTCCTCAACCTCAGAATCCTCCTACAACGCCTCCTCTCTCGTCCCCTCCACCAAAATCCGCCAACTCCTTGCCATCCTCGAAAAAGAAACCGGCGAACACAAGGTCATCGTCTTCTCCCAATTCACATCCATGCTCGATCTCATCGAGCCCTTCCTCAAGCGCGCAGGCTACAACTTCACCCGCTACGACGGCAGCATGCGCAACGACCTCCGCGAAGCCAGTTTGCAGAAGCTGCGTGAAGATAAGCGGACAAGGGTCTTGCTGTGTAGTTTGAAGTGCGGGAGTCTGGGGCTTAACCTCACGGCTGCTAGTCGAGTGGTTATTATGGAGCCGTTTTGGAATCCGGTATGTATATCTCTTTTCTATGTCGACTCATACCACAAGAACTGCCTGCTAATATGTTTTTTTTCCCCAACAGTTCGTAGAAGAACAAGCAATAGACCGCGTCCACCGCCTCAACCAAACCGTCGACGTAACCGTCTACCGCCTCTCCATCCACAACTCCGTCGAAGAACGCATCCTCGAGCTGCAAGAAGCTAAACGTAAACTCGCCAACGCCGCCATCGAAGGCGGTAAAGCCATCAAGAACCTCACGATGAAGGATATGATGGCCTTGTTTAGTACGGAGAGCGAGTATGATAGGAAGCATGACGATGATGCTAAGGATATGGAGTTGTATGGGAGGAGGAAGGTGTTGGATGGGGAGGGGGATGGAGAGAGGGGAGAGGATATTGGGGAGGCTGGGGGGAGGAGGAGGAAGGCGGGGAGCTTGGGGTTTAAGGCGGTTAGGAGGACGGAGAGGAGGGATGAGGGGGGTGCTTATGGGAGGCGTTGATGGGGGTCGGAGAGGGTGGTGTTCTTTTGGTGTTGGGGGATGGGGGGTGGTGGGGGTTGATTATGGGATGGTGTTCACGGTACGGTATGACATGAAGAGTCGTTCTTGGACTCTCTTTCTGATGGTTCAGATGATAGACTTTCGTCGTTGCGAAATGAAGTACATGGTCATGATTAGCTATCTGTAATGCTTCGAGTTCCGATGAGTTCTGGATAACGCCCCAATCCTTCTCCGCGATATCTTTACTCTACGTTCGACCATTATTGGTGGCGCATATCTGGCGACGATGCAAGCGTAAAGTATATCATTCAATGAAGCTGCGTAATGTGGGGTTTGGCAGTGCCTGGTCGGTCTCTCTGGGCTTTCCCACAGATATTGCATTTGTCTCAGCACGTTCGCCTTATAGCAGAGCAGGCGATAGTCCATCGAGTGGACACTAGACGGGGACCTTTTATTGAAACATCTGCCTCTATATGAGATACCGAGCTGCCAATACGTTATGATAAGAGAATCGCATGTCGCCGCATGTGCCAGAAGCCCCACCAACTATCCTTTGTTTTCCTGTTCTCTGGATACGAAACAATATCAACACTGATATTGTGTGATCTCAGCAGCCATGCAGATAGTACCCAGTCATTTGCCAGGCTCCACATCTACTATTCAGATGATGATGACGTCCTGTTCTGGCATTTTG